GGTCAGCTTTATTATTCACCGAATGATTAACGGAATAACTATTTTCTGTGCTCATTAATGCTCAATATTATACAAACTATTGGTATGGAGAACAAAAGCAGGATAACAAACTGTACCAAAACCAAAAGTTGTTTTCGCTCACCACTTAGACAACCAATAACAAAAAAAATACAATGAGCTTTATTCTTTCATTGCTTATTAATCATTTTTCTAAAGTTTGACAATGGAATTGTGTACATTTGACGTTAATAAAGCATGACATTACACGTATCGTTTGTTCTAGAACGGGAACCTAGTACTGACGTCAACCGAAATAAAACCGTTAATTTTTTAAACTTAATATTGTTGTTGTCACCACAACTAATTTGGGTATATTTCATACAACACAAACGATGAATCTGTGCTTCAAAGTAATCTTCAGGTTTTACTTATAATATGCCAAAATATTGGCCCCATGGCGTTTTTGAGAAATTACAAAGGCCAAAATATTGGCCCTTTGGCACATAACTTGTTAAATAATATCTTATTAAAATGAAGTTTTTGAGGTAGGTGTTATTTCATTTTTTAATCGAACATTAATGGATTTCAGAAAGTCAATATGGCGGCACACTCCTTCGTTACGAAATGCTAATTGTGCATTTGATGGTAAATAGGAGCCAATGTACCGAAAATTGTTAATAAAAATTGCAAATGTTTGGGTTAAGAATGCCGACCGTGCGAGGGCTTTATAGCCAGTCAAGGTCGTTAAAAACTCCCATAAGTAAGGATTAAACACATTTTTTCTAGAGGTTATTGATGTGTAAACTGGGTCGCTGACTAACAAACTTTACATTTTGTGAGTTAATCGCCCCAGGTTACACATCAATAACCTCTAGAAAAAATGTGTTTAATCCTATAGTATTCCAGGTTAGGACAGATGAAGGTATAAATGAATTAGCTGATTTTCTAAACCTGCACCTTGGGTCACATAGTTACCATTTATCGGAGGTTACAGCCATTTACATCTGATATAAGGAGAGGTCAACAATTGGTTAAATATTCAGGACATGTACCATTATGCATTTTATAAAAAAAAATTGTCATTTTCAGTGATTTCCGTCTATTAATTTAGATATCCCACCCTGTTTCGATATAATCACACTTCCCTTCTTGTCAATTTGGGTAGGCTAGTCGCTATTCGAGCAGCCTCTAGCTGTATTGTTTTTTCTTCTGATTTATCAATCACTTTCAAAATCTCAAACTTCGCAAGCTTATTCTTAAACTAGTAAAATTGATAAATATGTATATACATAAGATTTTTTTTAAAGATTTTTTGAGAAGATAAACTTTTCAATTTCCGTTAAGCGTTTAATTAATTGTGTTAGAGCTGAATTAGTTATATTGTCTATGTGTCTCAATCAGTTTCTGTCAGATGAAAACTATATACTAAGGTGTTTATGTTTATTTACAATTTCGACATTTTCATTCTTGAATGCTAATGTTCATTCTAGGGATAACAGCATTTGAGATAGTCAGGGCTTTATTTTTCTTTTGATTAAAATCACCAAGCTAGGCATTTGCCAAGTTAACTATAATTCTTCGGTAATTATTGATCTTCAATATCTCCAGAGCACGGAAAGCGAAGTATTGTCTGCAAAAAGCTAAATTATTTAGGTCATCAAATATATCAATTATGTATATTAAAAACAGCAGAGGACCAAAAAGATATTTCGGGTTCCCCAGCCCTAACGAAGTCGAAATTATACATTTCACTGTTTACATCCAATCAAATCAATTATCAGAAATTCCCTAAGATTGTAATTTCTTTCGTAGCTCTATTAAACACCTTCAATATATCACCTAAAATAAAATGAAAATAATTGACAAGCGGTCAGCTAGAATTGGGCGAATTTGATATAATATATAACAAAATAATAATTGGTGTAAACTACACCTTTAAGAAACAACCCAGACTGTAAAGTAATCTATGTTCAACGATATACTTAAAATATAAACTAGTATACAGCTCGTTCCATGACTTTATCAACACATGTAGGGATGGAAAGCAGTGTCGGAGTTTGGTCATGATGCAAAGATGCCAACCTCTTTGAGTGCAATCAGTAAAAAGGCATTAAAATTTCCGTAATTTGTGTCTTTTTTCAGTAATATTTACTTAACATTTCATAATCAATGGACTGTGCACACAGTGATATGATTCATTGGTTATTGGTTGCTTAACGTCCAGTGGCAAATATTTCATGCATGTTCAGGAAAAGAACACTTTTCTTATAAATACAAAAGGTAGGTCCTTTAATTAATAGAGGTCGCTCGGGATGAGAGTCGGAAAAATTTACACTGCCACTGGAAAATGAGGGTGTATGGGATATGGGAAAGAAATTTACCAATGCAACAGGCCACCTACGGATCTCAAAAAGAGTCGTTTCAACGGTTCTTAAGGAACAGAGTGTGTAGCACTCTTTCTTCAAGAGGAATATGAATTAACATCCCCAACCCGACCGGACGTGGCTGCTTACTTGTACATCCACCACAGCCAAACGGACGCCACTTTGGTAAGAGTATTTCTGCCTGTTGGGAAGAAAACCTGTAGTGACTATATTTCTTTTCCTCGGTCATACTTTTTGGGTGACTCTCAGTGACAAAATGGTTTCCTATATTTATCAGAACTACGATTCAAAGTTGATGATCAAATGAGGAATACTGACCATTGCGTCAAATGAAAATTTTTTCATAATTATATATATATATATATGCAAAAGGCATAATGGTCCGGATTTCTAATTCAAATTGTTCCATCAGACATTGCAAAATTGAAAACAATGACTGGTTTCGTTCATTAATTATTCAAAATTAGACAAGAAATATATAGGTCGTTTTGTCCTGTAATCCCGATTGATTGTTGATTGCTTAACGTCCAGTGGCAAATATTTCATGCATGCTCAGGACAAGAACAAGTAAACAATAAATTAAATAGGTAGGTCTTACAAGAGAGGCCGCCCTGGATGAAGGTCGGGGAAAATTTGTACCACGGGAAAATGAGGGTATATTGGATATGGACAGAAATTTAGCATTGCAACAGGCCACCTACGGACCCCTACAAGAGTTGTTGCAAGGGTTCTTAACGTGTTAAGAGCGTGGCACTTTCTACACGAGGCATCATATTTAACGTACTCATTCTGACTGGACGTGGCTGCGTACTTGATACATCCCCCACAGCTAAACGGACGACCCACTTTGGCGAGGGTTCTACTGCCGATCGGATGAAGACCAGTGGCGACCATATATCTATTCCCCAGTCACCTTTGGGGATAGTCCCAAGAAACTCAAAGGAAAATTCAAGCGCTAAATGTTACACGATTCTAATCAAAAATCATTTATTGTTGTTTGCTTTACGCCGCATTAGCACAGAAAGGATAAACGGAGAACTATTCTAGACAGGTAATGAACGTAAATCCGTAACAAATAGACTGTTAATCGTAACACCGTAATTTTGGACTAAATTCGTAACAATTACGGGAAAACCGTAAAGGTTGGCATCTATGATGATGGTATTCATAAAATTATCAAACAGATGGACTGTCGAGTCAACGGGTTCTCTCATCATCGTTCCCATAAAAAATTTCATGGTTTGGCTTTGTATTTTTATGGGAAAATGACTAATTACAACAAGAACAGCTCCTGGTGGTCTTTTTTTTTATCTGATAAGAATGAAATGAAATATTTTTACAAAAAAACATTTCATGAATTTTTACTGACAAGTTTATTGTAGGTCATCTATGTAGAATGCGACAAACCTTAACCGAGAAATTGAGTCACGGTCAGGGTTAAAGAACCTAACTATGACAGAGAGAGTACTTTAAAACTTTTCATTTTGAAGTAGCGACATTCAAGCAATACACATGCATATATGTAGTATAATCAACCTTTTCTTTCCGGATTTTATCTATAGAAGGTTGCTGCTTACAAGGAAGCAACTAAGGTTGCGGTTAATATTTGTACTTGTAGGTCCATCTGTTTAATACTTTTATGGCTAGGGTATTCATGACCAAACTCCAAAACTACGTTCCTCCCCTACATTCATGACTTATCATTATTAGTATCTTTTGATTAAAATTTAAAGTTTGACTTATCAGTTGAACTAACTCAAATAATATCCATGGATTGTCATTATATTGTTTACCATAAGATGCTTTACTCCGTCCTCTATCTTCCTGTAACAACATTTAATTTGTTACACAGTTAATGAGTTCACTTCCCTAAAACTGTAAAAAAAAAATATGAATTGAGCAACAAACTGCACAAAGTGCGTACAATAATGATATTCTTTCTGGTATATTTTCTTATCTGAATTAAAGCGATCTCGAATATAATCTTAACACGGTAGACTGACGGTTGCAGGGATTACGGGGAAGGGGATCGCAAATATTGACTGAAATACATCCTTCGCGCGCTCCCCCTAAATTCCGAAATATACTTTTTTGGGCCATAAAAGACTGCTTTATTATCAGGATTGCCCCTCTTTAACATTAAATCATGAGTTTCAACATGTTCTTATATTACTGACGTATTTTATCTGAGGTTTATCTACAATCTACTTTAAAAAAGGACAGTTCATGACAAAGGAACAAACATAGTCTAAATAGGTGATATGGGGTAAATTACATTGAGACCATAAGAGGCATTTCGGAAAAAAGTTCCATCTTGTCATAACCCCTATCCCCGCTTAAAGCTCTGAGTCCGCTTCTGGTATGAGACGGGTAAAGAAGTGGCTGGGTCTTCTATTTCAATTAAATTACAACGTGGCAACTCCTATTTAGATTCTACAATTCTTCTTTTTTCAATTTCAAATTGAAGATTCGCTATTCTGCAAAGATTGCTTTTATTTTCAGTACTTATAAAAAGAAATATCTAGTATATTATAATTGGTCTCAGTTTTTGTGTTAAGTAAAAAGGTCTTCCTATTAGCAGTAATGTAGTTTAATGTTTCAAAAAATAAAATTTCATCTTTAATTTTTTGTTTTATTGTTTCAGTATATAAGTATACATCATGGCAATATACTAAAATAAGCATACTCTCCAATCGTCAGCACGTCTCTTAAGTTTTGGTAAAATATGCATGATCGTCCTCTGAATCAATGGGTATTTTTCTATACAAAGACAGGTATGCGTTAAGCATATATTACAGTTTAACAACTATCACAGAATTATGATTTTCACTTCTGTATAAGGCAGCTTGATTCAATGTTATATGAAAACTTTCTTCGGAAGACAAATGTTTGACATGGGTCAACATTACAGGCAAGACTACTCCAAGGGGTAATGTATAATTTTGACACCGAGATATCTCATTTGAGAATCGTATACATGCCACTAGTGAAGCATGACTACATTTTTCATCACATTGTAATACATCCTTTCTCATGTTTCTTGTATAAAGATTAAGTGATAATATGATCAAATAGTTCCCCTTTTCTTGCACTTTAAAGGTATTATTATCTAGTAGAATTATTATTTTAAATTCTGCATTTCTTGTTGATTTCCATTGTAGACTTCGGTGTTTGTACTCAGAAGTACGAGAATAAAGTCGTTCATTCAGTAAATATTTTTGAAACGGTGTGTGGATTGGAAAACTAAAGATGGTAAATGTGTTTATGAGAGAAAACCGGGTATGTTGTAGAACTTAACGTCAAATTCATGAGAAGTTGGTAATCTATTAATGTCAATTAGAGTAAGCGGGGCAGCCATTTCTTCAAATAATTCCAGTCGCGCACAAGTATTATTGAGACATGCTTGCATTTTGACAGTTTTTATATTTGAGGTATAAATGTAAGAATGAAGTGTAAGTAAAACTAAATAAATGCCATCTCGATGTATCATAAAAGAATGCGATGTTTTATTATATGTCCAAGGAAAAGTTTCATGAATACCATCCAGTCGCCATGAAAGCCTTCCCTTCAAATACCCAGAACTAAATGTTTCTTTTATATTCAGTTTAAATCTTTCCTGTGCATATCCAGGTCCTTCTGGCCATGTTATTAATGATAAATAATTAGCATCGTTATCAGTTTCATTTGGTTTGAATATATCGCGAGGAATATCAATAGTCTGTTTTCCACTTACTGCAGAAATAAAAACTAGAGACACTGGGATCCTCAACTTCTCCGACATTTTCTGACAAAATTCGTCGGATTCACTGGCAATTTTACTATGACGAATTTTAATACAGGAAATCTTTGCAGGTTGCATGTTTAATTGACCCATAAGAATACCATGATAGTCGATTTTAAATGTACGAATGCTGTTACTATACTGGATATGTTCCGATTCGCACACGTCTACTTTCCAGGAATATATTGACTCTTTATCTTGTTTATAAATGGCATATGAAACTTTGTTATACTCTAAAGAATATAAATCTGATAATCGACTCAAGTTAATTAAACTACGTTACTGACTATCGAGATTACCTCTGGCCTGGAACTCTTGTATGAAAAAATAACAAGAAAATCCTATGACAATTATAACAGTCACTCCTATCGGCGCTGTACTTAAATTCCATTTTCGTCCTCTTGTTATGCATTTTTTTCCTGAAAAATAAACTAGACTTTATGAAGCTTGTATCTAGCAAAAAAAAATTACACCGTTTATGATAATAGGTTTTATATCCGAATATCAACGGAAGTGTAAATGACATCTGTACACACAAATAGCAGTGTAGCAGTCACCCGTGAAATACAAAAAAGATTTCCATCCCATGAAAAATGTAACCGCGAAATGGTAACTTTTTGGAGATATTTCATTGCATTGCCGATCATCATTTTCACAATACTCAAGAAAACCTGTTATACTGAAAAAGCTAAGGGTCCTTGAACAAACTAATGACATTATTTATCAAATTGTAAACCACGTGCTTTTTTAAATTATTGACTTATTCTAATTCATTGTATGCTTATTAACCAGGAGGGTCCAGTAACCATATCACGTCCATCCAGAATTATATTTCACAGTAGCAGCTAACAGTGTCTTCAATTTCATATTACTGGGGAAATATTTACAGTTATCTACAACATGTATCAAAATGTACATACATATATGTATTCGATATGGTATCAAAGTTCAAATCTCTTCAATTGTTATGTTGGTGTTAGGCAGGGTGAAAATTTATCAACTTTTTTGTTTTCTGTGTTTTAAATGATTCAGAACGCTTTTTTGTGGAAAAAATTGTAAAAAATTTAGAATACATATTAAAAAAACTATGAAGAATTTTTACAAGTATTAGCTAAAATCTTTGTCATTTTGTACGCAGATAACACAGTTATTATGTCTGATAGTAAATAAGAACTACAACATGCACTTGATGTTTTAAATTGTGAATAAAATTGTAACATATGGAAAGTTAATATAGCCAATACAACAATTGTTGTGTTCAGCAAACGAAAGAAACGACAAAAATTTGATTTCATGTATACGGGAATGCTTTACAAGTTGTAGATTCTTGCAAAAACTTTTAATTAGATAAAATATTTTTGTACAGATAGAAAAAGGATTTTTGACCAAGCACACAAAGCAATGTTTATTCTCAATGTATATAGAAAAATAAAACATATATCATTACCTACTGATATGAATGTTACAACTTTTTGATGCTGTAACCGCACCTGTGTTATTATATATGTCAGAGGTTTGGGGATTCGGAAATAAACGGAATATTGAGAAAATGCATCTGCAGTTCTGCAAGAATATTCTTGGGATTCGGCGTTCGGAATAGTACACAAAACTTTATTGTTTACCGGGAATTGGGTCGGGTTCCTTTGGATGTCTCTATAAACTTAGGATGGCATAATTCTGGTACAGAGCTATTAAAGCAGATAGCAAACTGTCATATAGACTAATGATTAAAATACATGGAAATATTTCTACCAAATTCGAGTGGGTTCAATATGTAAAATCTGTTTTGGTTATATAGGTCTTAGTTTTAAATAGAACGAACAATTAGTTGTAATTAATGATTGGATAAAGAGAAATTTAAAAAAATGGTCAAAAATAAAAATAAAAAACTAAAAAAACTAGATACTTGCAAAATATTATTGTTCTAAATATGAAATAAATAATAAACAAAAACAGAAATAAACAACAACAAAAATATATACATACAAAAATTTAAAAAAAAAAGATCAAGTGAATTTTTTATTTTTTTTTGTGATACATTAGGGTATTGTTTTTCAGAAATTTTGATACAAGGAAATAATTCAAGATATTTTCAAAGTTTGGTTTATAAAAAGCGGACTGAATGATAATTTTTGGTTTAAACAACATTTTATTCGATAAGTCAAATCATGCTATATAATATAAGACAGTATAAACAATGGGATCCAGAAACAAGCAACATTGCTTATTTTAATCTGTCTCCAAAAGAATATTGACATACAATATAATGAATACTTGGAGCATGCTCTGTCAATTGGAATATATTAAGAATAGTAAATACAAAATAAGATTGATTGTATAGTTTGAGAAAAAAGAGAGAAAAAAAAACAAGCAAAAAACAAAAAACAAGTGAATGAAATGAGCTTAATGAAATGCAAGGAAAAAGTGTAAATGAAGCTTTCATATAATGATGTGAATCTTTTACTTTTCAATATATATTTCTGTACCAATACAAAAAGAGTACAATTTTCTTCATCAGTTAAACAATCTGACCGAAAAAGCAAAATATTTACATCGATACGCTGCGGAAAATCAGCAAGAGAATTCAGTAGCACTTGGCGTATGTAAGTATAGTAAGGACACGTTAATAAAAAAATGAGAGCTTGTTTCTATAGCACCACAACGACATTTTGGCGATTCCACTTAATTACGTAAAAATAAATTGGAGTTTAAAGCACTAGAGTTCATTCGCAAGCGTGCATGGATAATTTGTCCAATGCGATTTCCAACATAATAATGTGTGGGAACCTTCTTATTTTGTTTACAAATATGTTTTTTAAATAGAAAGAGAGAGTCGCATTGTCTTATATTAAAAGGTATCTTATTCCATAATTTCACGGTTGCAGGGAAAAAGTATTCAGAATATAAGCGAGTTCTTGTACCGATTTCTAAGATATTTTGACGTTGCCTTGTATTATGGTTATGTCTACTTTCTACTAAACCTGGTATTTGTTCACGGAGATAACTAGGTGTTTTGTCATATATATTTTTGTGACAGAGTATCAATCTATGATTTTCCCTTCGTTCCGATAACTTTTCCCATTGAGTTTCGACATATAATTTACCAATATTCGTAAGTTTAGTCCCCCCCCCCCCCCCCCCCCCTGTAACTATGCGTGCGGCATCTAGCTGGATATTTTCTAGCCTTTGTATTAGGTTTATATTATGTGCGTCCCATACAACATCGGCATATTCAAGAATTGGCCGTATAAAAGACATATATAGTTTTTCCAGAATAAACCGATCGAGAACGTTTCTAACTTTTCGTAGAATATTAACCCTTAAATAAGATTTTTTAATTATGTATTCGATATGGTCTTGCCAAAATCCATTATTAGAAAAATAAACACCAAGATGTTTGTGATTGTCGACTATTTTCAGTTCTTGGTTATTCATTTTTAAAGGGGGGTGGTACAACTTAGTTTTTTTCCTAGAAATAATCATAGACTCTGGTTTTTTTTGCATTAAAATTAACAAGCCATTTTTGTGACCAATTATATATTTTATCTAAATCATTCTTTAGTGTTTCAGCAGCTTCAATCGGATTATCAACTACTAAGTACAATGAGGTATCGTCAGCAAATAGTTTAATTTCTGCATGAATATCTTCGACAATGTCATTTATAAAGATTAAAAACAGTAGAGACCCTAAAATAGACACCTGGGGTACCCCTGCATTTACTGGTAGCCATTCAGAACTTGTACCATTTATTACCACACTTCCCGACAGATAATTTTCAAACCATTTCAATAAACTACCAGATGTTCCAGCTTGTTGTAATTTGAAAAGAAGACCCTTATGCCAAACTCTATCGAAGACTTTGCTTATATCACAGAAGACAGCCCTTATTTCTTTACCACTATCAAGAGCTTTACCAAAATCATTTGAAATATTAACCAGTTGATTTACTGCTGAGTCCCCCTAGTAAAGCCTGACTGATTATTGCTAAGAAACTTATTGTGTTTTAAGTGATTGTAAACATGTTTATAAACACAGCGCTCCATACACTTTGATATAACACTCAAGAGGGAAATCGGTCTATAATTTTTCACATCATTTGGTTTATTACTTTTGAATACAGGGGAAACGTTTGCTCTTTTCCATTGATGCATGGGGAAATACTGCACTACGCAAGAACAAGTTGAATAATTTACACAAAGGACTTTTAAGAATAACTGAAGCCTCTTTTAACAGTTTTGGATTTATTAAATCAGGACCTGAAGCTTTTGATGGATTAATTATACTAAAAATGTCTTCCACTTCTGTTTCGTTAAGTTCTATTTCGTTGATTGTAGTTGAAGCATTAAATGGTATAACGGGTAAAATTGTGCTGGAGTCATCAATATTAGACTTGAATGCAAAAAAATCATTTAATTCGTTTGCTTTGTCGATATCATCAAATATAAGAGAATCGTTTATTAAAAGAGGTGGTATACTTGTGTCTTTTGATTTCATACCTGTAATTTGATTTACGATTTTCCACCAATTCTTATTAGAGGAGTTGTTATTAATAACTTTTTTTATCAAGGAATTATTAAAATCTTCTTTAGATTTTCTTACTAAATTGGTAACTTCGTTTCGTATTTTCTTAAATTTATTCCAGTCTCTCGAATTATTACGTCTTTTAGCAATTTTGTGTATTCGATTCATTTTCCTTATCTTTTTCTTTATTTCATTAGTAAGCCAAGGGGGTTGATCCTTTCGAACCGTTATTATTTTATTTGGAATACATTTATCGGCTGCATCTAAAATAATATGTGTGATATTTGCCGTCATGTCTTCAATATTATCTGAATCTGTTATTGAATTCCAATTATTTCCGGACAAAATGTTTCTGTATTTTGTATAGTCGCCACGATTACACAACCATATTTTACGTTTGAAAGATTTATGACAGGTTTTTGGGAAAATTTAAAAGACCAATGATAGGACAATGATACCTCAATTGTTCAAGTAGTGGCGGACCAACGCCACAGTACGTACCAGCATTTACATTGTTTGTCATGAAAAGATCTAACAATGAAAAAGACTGTTCAGTAAAATGTGTTGGTTCGTCTATCAACTGATTCAATCTGAACTGTGTTAATAATGGTCTAATCTTAGAGTTAGCGCAATTTATTTGATCATAATAAAAATCGCCAGTGATCATTATGTAATCTACATGATTGTCGTTTAAGGCCATATCTAGTGTAGTGAGTTTTCTAATTTCACCCAAATATCTTGCTCGCAATAAGGGGGATATAGAAAGTCCCAAAGAGAACTTGTTTACCATGTAATTTTAGTTCTAGCCACACAGATTCAAGGTTGTCCATTTCTATTTCTTGGCGTCGTTGTGCAACTAAATTATTTTTAACATATACGATAACTCCACCGCCTGTT